AATCCAATCTATTAATTCCCATCTTTTTAGTGGTGAGTTGAGGCTATTTACATTTAAGGTTATTGTAGAAGTGTTTGCTGTTTCCTATCAATATTTTGGTGTTCTGTTTTGCTGAATTATTGGTATTTCTTTTCCTTCTCCCATATTAGTTTCAAGAGTGATGCATTGTGATTAGTGATGAGTTCTGTGTTGGTCTTGTTGCTTCTTTCTCAGGTCTCATTTGCTTGTTTGTTTTCACGGAGTGTACATGTTCATGTATTCCTATGGGGGAGGCTGTCTTTCTTCTTGTGCCCCATAAAGAATTCCATTAAGAATTTTCTGCAGTGCTGGCTTGGTTATGAATTGCTTTGTGTTTGTCTTGAAATGCCCTTATTTCTCTGTCAGTTTTGAAAGATAACTTGCATAGTATAGCATTCCTGGTTCAGTTATTTTCTTTCAGAACTTGAAGTATTTCATTCCATGCTCTTTTGGCTTTTTTGTTTGCTGATGAGAAGTTTGGGGTAATTCTGATACTGCTGCCTCTGTATGTGAGTTGACATTTTTCTCTGCTGCTTTTAGGATTGGTTCTTTGTATTTTATTTGCATACAGTGTTGTTAATGAACTATTTAACTAGAACATAATATTTTAAATGTTAAGCCATTTAGCATAAGTTAAAAAAACCTGCTAGTTTTGAATTTTAACATTTATTTGGAGGGGTGGCTATGAAATACTAGAGTTCATAAAGTTCAGCCAAGTTATTGCTTATACCGCTGTGTGTAACATGCTTTCTGGAAATATTTTTGCATTTTTAAAGGGTGGAGATTCTTATCAAATGTGACACAGAACTGAAAGAAAAGTGAAAATAAAGTGACTATTTTATAAAATAAAGTTTATGATGAACTTTTTGTATGAATTTCAATTAATAATGTTAATAATATTTTTGTGAATGTATGTAGTGACAAATGAATACACAGAAAATAATGACATACTCTTTTGTTTCCTCTATGTATAAAAATATGAGGCTTGGACAAGAACTGTGGGATTTCAGGAAAATAGACTAATAGGACCCTAAGAAGTGGGTAGAGACTTGAACTTAGTGTAAAAGGCTGGAATGCAGTACTGGATTGAAAACAGCATAGGAAAAAATGGGATTCTAGGTGAACTTGTATATTTGTGGGATTCAGTAAACAGCAAACATATTTTTAAAAGGCACTGTGCTAAGCAACGAGGAGACAACATTGATTATAACGTGAACTTGCCCTTATGGACTAACAGTTATGAAAAGTAAAGATTTTGATGATGACTAAAGTCAGGCAATGATAAAGGCTCTTACTGGGTCACAGATGTTGCCAATAGAGAACAGAGGCATGGCCACTGAATTCCACTTGGAAGACTGGGAGGGAATTACACAAGTCATGTGACCTTGGAGTGGTAGTATTTTAGAAGATGCTAGGAAAGAAAATTAGAAAAATGTTAAAGGCCGGGCATGGTGGTGCATGCCTCTAATACCAGGAGGCAGAGGCTGGTGGATCTCCGTGAGATCAAGGCCAGTCTGGTCTACATAGCAAGTTCAGGCTAGCTGGGGCTATAGGGAGACCTTGTCTTGAAAAAAAAAAAAAGTCCAAAAAAATGAAAGAAAGAAGAAAGGAAAGTGTTAGATAGTGCTGTGTGCTTCTAGTCTAAGTTACTTGGGCATCTGTGCTTACGAGTTTGAAGACAGCATGGGCAAGATACCATCTTTAAAACAAACAAAACAAAACAAAGACCACAATCTTTTGGAATCTGTCAGAGAGAATTCTGATGGTGATGGAGAATCAGGCAGTGTATAGAACTGGTCATCTTTTCAAATGTAAAGATTGTTATATGCCTTGTTTTTTAATGTAAAATTTGTTTTAAATAATGAGCATTAAATTATGCTTTGAAAAATGAGGTTTGGGGAAAAAATGATTCTATTCAGATGATAAGTGTTCCTGATTCCCCAAGAAGAGCATTGGTTGTTAGGAAGGCCTATTCTTTAGAGGTGTGGTGTATAGGGCTTTTGGAATTTTTCTAGGACTGGATACATACTCAAGACACACAGAAAAACCCTGAAAAAGTAAATACTGTCAAAACTAACATGTTAATTTAATTTTCTACAAAATGATGTACTGTAAACAAACCAACTGCAATAAAATCTTAGTTTTATGAACTATGCTTAATATGTGTTGTATTCTCTTAGAAATAAGAATGTGTGAAACTATTGGGATTTTGTGGTACTTGTGCTCTGTGTTGCTCAAGCTTACTTATTCTGGACAGTGTTTACTTATTCTGTACAATCTAAAAGATTGGACGTAATGGTTTGGGAGGAACAAAATAAATGATCCCTTGCATGCCACTTCTAACTTGAAAGCTGCTCTAGGCCAATCTTTTACATCAGTCCTTCTATCATAGTGGCTCTTTGTAGGCCAGGGTGAACTTACAATATTTTCCAAAGATAGAAGAAGGACAGCCAATCTGGAAATTTCTTCTAGGAGCAGGTTTTTTTCAAAGGCAAAGCACAGCTTTTCCACTTCCAGGACTCCCATTGCCACCTTGTGGGCATTGAAGAAATTGCAGGCATGTTTTGCTTGTCAATACAGACATGGACCAGGCGCTTCATTCTCTCAAATGTGGGGATTAGGTTACGTGGATTTAGGTTACTTATGTATGTTACTTTATCCTATTGTAAGACTGAACAACAGTTCGATCAAAGCACATGTTGTGTCTTAAAATGGGTTTTAAGAAGTCTGTTCCATAGGCCTTTGTAGAAAGTCAATTAAATGCTAATATTTTTCACAGTGAAGAATTTCTCCAGTCTCAGTCTCTTTGTGTTAGGTAAACTAGAGGTTGAGGGTGCATATGGGTGTCTGAAAGACTATTTTAATTTATAAGTTTTTCCCCCCTTGTAGAGAATTGATGGACTTTTTCTCACTTTAATTTTTAACTTACAACTTTTTTATTTTTTGAGACTCTCATTGTACAGCCCAGGTTGCTCAATCTTGTCTAGACTTCTCTCTGTAGACTGGGCTGGCTCCAAACTTGTAGCAGTTCTGCCTCAGCCTCCTGAGTTCTGGAATTATAGGGTGTACTAGCATACTAGCTGTGGGCTTTCATTTATATTGAATAATATTATTATTTATTACATTTGCTTTTCTCTAAGCAAGACATATGTGCTGTGGCTTAACTCAATCTGGAGAGGTGAGACATACATGTAGATTGTTTCTTGGATCCAAGAGATGGCAAGGTATTCGTATTTGAGTGTTTAGTAAGAAAAAAATTGCACAGATGCCCTTGTGCATGAGGGAGTTGGTGGCTGCCTTGCAGGGGGACTTGAAAGAACGAAGATTCCTTGACTCCACAGTGTGCTTCTAATCACCCACCGTCATCTCTGTTCTTTTGTTCGGCAGAGGGAAAGTGGTCCTGTGTAGTTACTGCTGTGTATTAGATGTCCACAGTGCCTGACAGGAGTGCTAAGACTCCAAGCACCTTATTTCTCAGAAATCTATGTGCTTCTTTTAGATCTCTGCTCAGAGTTCCCCTTTACTGTGAAAGCTTGCTGACACCCTATTTGCAATGAAATCTACCCTCAGCACCTCCCCAGGGTACACATCCAGTGTCTCTTTCCTTCTCTGTAATACTTAACCACCTCTGGACACCACAGGAGCATCCAGAACGGCAGTGCCACTGAGACTGGGTGCCCAGTTGTATGGGCTTTGCTTCTCACCTTGGCCTTTGACCCTAGCCCTTACCCCTCTGATTTTGCTACTAACCTGAAATGGAGTTTGAAGAGGTCATTTTCATATCCTCTCTGAAATTTTGATTCTATGATGTCAATATGAACTTGTATCATTCTGAAGTAAACTGTGAGGGCCAGGGCATATCTCTCTTACTAATTTCAGCACCCAGCATATGTTTAGGCGTATAATAGATCCTTGATGGGTATGTCAAGAGGCCTGAAGGAGGGAACTGTTTTCAATTTCTTCAAGTTTCAGTTTCCCATCTTTTCAGTGAGAGGATCAGTTCTGAGTATCTGAGTTAGAGGGTTAACTGACTCTTGTTTGAGGGCATTGATCAGATCCTACACCACAAAAACTAGGCCACCAACTCACCTAAGAGGACGAAGATGCAGGCCAGGATGGCGATGAGGGCACCCCGGCTCAAACTGACGGGGAGCATGTAGGCCTCGGGGCTGCAGGACATGACGTGGCCATCGTCATTGCAGCTGCACACCTGGATGGTCAGGGTGCCTGTGCTGCTCAGCACGGGCTGTCCACTGTCTGCTATCAGGATGGGCAGGTAGAAAACACTCTGCTCCTGCTGCCGGAAGCCGGACCTCCTGGTTAGAATCCTCGCGGTGTTATCTGAAGGCGCAAGAGGTTGGAGATTAAGAAAAGGAAAGAAAAATGAAAGGGGAGACCATGAAGAACCAATAGCGAGTGAGTTTCTTGGATTGAAGAAAGCATGGGGGCACGGACAGGGTGGAGGACAGAGAGAGGTTTGGCCCAAAGGTGTTCAGCTGTGGCCACAGCATGTTGGTCTGGATCAGTGCTCAGATTCAGAAATCAAGAGTTTTGCTTGCTTTTAGGCAAAACCCTGAGGCCTAGGACAGAAACCCTTTTTGAAAATCTGTCTTACCCTTTGTGACATAAAGTGCCCAGGGCGAACTGTCAGCCTTTTCATCTAACAAAAGTGTCCCGGGGAAAGCTTGACAGAAATGAACAATCAGGGGTGACTTGTGGTCCCTGTTTGCTCCTGCTCAGCAGCTTGCCAAGGCCTGTGCTGCTTGGTGCCTTCAGGAAAAGAATGCTGAGGAACCCATGTGGCCGCTGCACATTGCTTATTTTTTGCCACTCTGGCTGGAATTCACATCTGCTATTTTATTCCTCTGAGCTGCAGTCCCAGTTTCCTGAAGAACCTGCTCATTTAATAGAAGCCTATTTGAAATCCCCCGGTCATATGACATATCCCATTATTTCTCCTGGCCTGGTGGGCTCAGTTTAACCAGTTAATATGAACTTGGTAAAAATTTATTCCTGATCAACAGTATTAGTTATTTTTCCTCCTGCTTTTAAAATACATAAATTTGAACTGAGAGATAGTGATTTTTATATCTTTTTGGGGTAGAGCATGGTGTTTCAGTGTGTTTTACCATGTAACCACCAAATCAGGATATTTAGGTGACCCCTCATTGTGGGGAATCTCTCTCTGCATGTGCGTGTGTTTGTGTGTGTGTGTGTGTGTGTGTGTGTGTGTGTGTGTGTGTATGCACATTCTACCCTGTATTTTCTGAGGTAAAGTCTCTCACTGACCCTGGAGCTCCTTGATTTGGCAAGGCTGGCTGGCCAGTGAGCTCCAGGAATCCACCTGTCTCCAGCCTCCCAAGTGCTGGGCATTTGCCTATGCCTAGCTTTCACATGAGTGTTGGGGAATTGAATTTGGGTCCCCAGGCTTGTGAAGTAAGCAGTTTACTGACTGAGACATTTCCTCAGTCCTCTAACATCTTAAACATTTCTCATTTCTTATAATTAGAACATTAAAAAAAAATCAGCTGTTGTAGCTGTTTTGAACTGTGCATTATTATGGACTAATATGTCTATGTAACAGAGCACAGAGCTAAATGATTAGATTTCTCAAAGCTCTCTGTGTGTGCACATGTGTATTTATGTTGATATTTGCCAAGTGCTATGTAATTTTTGATTTTTAAAATATTAAATCTGTATTCTCAAGTTAACTGGGATGACTTTGAATTATAAAGCAGACGTGTTTTTGCAGAGTTGAGGTCATCAGCAGAGGAACAGTTTGAGAGATATGATAGGGAGGGAGGTCCAAGAAGTGACCTGTTAAACTAAAACTGAGCTGGGTATGGTGGTACATGCCTGTAATCCCAGAACTGGGGAGTCAGAGGCAGGAGGATTGTGACAAGTTCTACGCCAACCAGGGCTGCATTGTGAGATTCTGTCTCAAAAAATCAAAACAAAAGGAATCAACAAAAAGCCAAATCAATCAGCATGGAAGATTCTTTGTGTTCTGACTAGAATTTCATAAGATTTCTAAAAGCCTAAACAACACAAATATCACAATATTTCTGGTTCTTCCCCTTCACTCCCCGACCCCTTTTTTTTTGCGACAGAGTTCCCTGTAGTCTCAGCTGGCCTACAACTCATTTTGTAGACTAGGCTGGCCTGGATCTCACAGAGATCCCCCTGCCTCTGCCTCTACCTGAATGCTGGGATTAAAGGTGTTTGCCACCACCATGCCCAGCTTTCTCCTTCCCTTCTTGAGCATAATAAAAGATTTTACTTCCTCTTGAATTTGGTCATATCAATATAATTTCCTTAGTTGATGAAAATGAGGAAAAGTGCCATGTGGCTTCTAGGTAGAAGCATGTGAGAGCTGGCATTTCTGTCCTGTTCTCTTGCCTTGAAATGGTAACTGAACAAACATTACAGCTATGCAGCCAGACTGAGCTGCCCTTGTAAGCAGCTGTCTTTCACTCACCCAGGCTGGGTTTTATTATTTTTTTTAAATTTTTAAAAAATATTTTATTATTTTTATGTTATGTGTATGAGTGTATTGCCTGCATGTATGTAAGTGCACCTGTGTTGTGCAGTGCTCTCAGAGGTCAGAAGAGGGCGTCAGATCCCATGGAACTGAAATTATGGACAGTTGTTAGCCTGCATGTGGGTACTTGGATTGGATTTGAGCCCAGGTCCTGTAGCCCCAGCTGGCCTGGAACTCAGTATGTAGACCAGGCTGGCCTTGAACACACAGAGATCCTCCTGCCTCTGCCTTCCAAGTGCTGGGACTAAAGACTCTTGCACCACCACACCACGCTCAAGCCAATGGTCTCAACTGCTGAGCCATCTTTCTAGCCCCAGGCTGGGTTTTATTTAGGCAAGAGCTTAATTAACTTTAATTTTGCTAAGCCCCAGGAATTTTGCTGTTGCCTGTTTCTGTGGTGTAACCTAAACTATTCCAGCACATTATTCCTTGATGTTTACACCTCCTCCTTTCTTTATGCACAGTGCCAGCTATGTGTACGTATATTTTCTTTTTGAGGTCTCCGGTACCAGTTATTTGTTCTTAGTACATGTAGTGTCTCATTTAATCTTCATTACAGTTTTTTTAGTTACTGGTAATTCTACTCCTTTACAGTGAGATAATTAAAACCTAGGTTAATTTTATTTATAGGCACTAACCTAGCTAGAGGCAGAGCTGGGGTTTAAACTCTGGTCTCCCTAATTTGGGGGAAGCTTGTATTCTTCCCATGGTGCCATTCAGTTGCTTATGCAGTTTTGTAACAGTAGTGGTCAAAATTTGTTCAGATAATCATATTCTTTTCCTACTTTGACACAGGTGACTTTCCTCTCACTTTCTTCTCAGTGCAGATAGATAGCAATCAGTTACTAGCCTGAGGATCACACCTGTCCACCTACCACACAACCCATCTACCTGCTGTTCTGCTTCTCAGATTTAATAGCTAGGTACTGTTAATTATGTTTTTTAGTTTTTTTTTAAAATTGTTTTAGAAATTAGTTTTTCTCTAAACAAAACTAGTATTTATTTTTATTTTTTGGTTTAGTCCAGTTTAGACCATAGGCATTTTTTTTTTTCTTTTTTTTCTTTTTGAGACAGGGTCTCCCTGTAGCCCCAGCAGGCCTGGAACTCACTATGTAAACCAGGCTGGCCTCGAACTTGCAGAGATCCGCCTGCCTCTCTCTCCTGAGTGCTGGGATTAAAGGCATGCACTGCCACACCCAACTATCATAAACATTTTAAGAAAGGCTAACAAAGAATGAATTTCATGAAAGTATTTTATGTTTATTGATCTAAAAAATTAAGAGTAAAGAAAAAGAAGTTACTTGTACATTGCTGAGTGTAGCCCTGGGAGGGCCCTGACATACCTTAGCCATTTGGATTTTTTTGTTGTTGTTGTTGAGAGTGATAATTAGAGCCTTAGTAACTGTTTTGGAAAGAATTTTTTTCCTATGGTGTCAGAAAATTGCGTGTGTGTGTATGTATGTGTGTATGTATGTGTGTCTGCGTGCGTGTATGTGTGTATATATGTGTGCATATACGTGTATATATGTGTGTATATATATGTATATATGTGTGTATATATGTGTGTATAATAGGAAGTACCAGGAAGTTATAGTACCAGCTTCTAACATGAGCCTTTGCTTCTTTGTGGTGCTGGGGATTGAACCAGGGCCATATACATGTGAGACCAGTGCTCGAGCACTGAGCTGCACTCTGGTCCTTGGCCCACTCTTACTGCTCACTTACTCTCCACTCTTGGGTCGTTCGCCCTCTTTCCTTGTCTGTCCAATGGGATTATGAGAATCACAGTGATCAAACTTTACTGGTTTGTTATATATCAAATAAAATAAGAAAATTCTTTTGAAGCCATAAACTCCTGTGTACATACAGTCCTTTTCATGTTTTGACTAAAAGTTAAAGAGCAGAAGCTAGATGCGATGTTGTGCACTTGGAATTACAGACTCAGGAGGTAGAGGCAGTAGGAGCTCTACAGGTCCGAGTCCAGCATGGTCTACATAGCAAGTTCTAGGCCAATCTGGGCTATATAGTGAGGCCTTGTTTCAAGAGACTAAAACAAAATTAAATTAAACAAATTAAAAAGAGGAGGTGGGGATGTAGCTTATTGGTAGAATGCTTGTTTATCATGAGCAAGGCTTTGGGTTTGATTCCCAGTGCCTCCCCTAACTCACAGAGCTTTACTTGAAATAAACAAGCTCCTTCTTGTTTTCTAAAGGGCCATCATGTTTCAGGGGTGGGAGCTGGGGCCCTAGACAGTAGATATACCATATCAGAAGTTGATCTGTCTTTAAATAAGTCCCAGGAAAAGAGTGAAATAATGTGGTGATTAAGAGTTTGTGCTTTCTCTTGAAGATGTGCTGACTTCTAGTTTGGGAAACCATCCAAAAGATGAGTCACCTCTTCTTGTTAATGTCCCATTCTAGAAGCCCATCCCTGTATGACATTGGTTCCATGAACTGGTGGCCAAAGTGACCTTTAAGAAACTTGCAGCTTTTTGCTGCCTATTGTTTTTGTGTTGGTTCTGGCACATTTGAGAGTTAAGAAATAAGAGTGACATCTAGAAGAAAATTTGAAGAAAAAACCGTAATTATAATCCTAGCCAACCCTGAGGGAGAATTTTCTGTGAAGCAGATAACTGAGTAATTAAAAAGTCTGACCCAATAAAATTCTCAGGATAAGGGACTGAGAAGATGGCTCCTTGGATAAACTGCTTGCCATGTAAGCATGAGGACCAAAGTTCGAATCCCCAACACCCACATAAATGTCAGGCAGGCATAGTGGACTACCTTTAATCCCAGTGCTTTGGAGGTGGAAGTGGGGTCCCTGAGTAAGCTGGCTTGCTAGAGTAGCCGAATCATCAAGCTCTGGGTTCAAATGAGAGACCCTGTCTCAATATGTAAGGTGGGGAGTAATCAAGGAAGACACTCGGGGGGATGGAGAAATGGCTCAGTGGTTAAGCACCCATGTCACAGGGATCACTACCATCTGCAATTCCATCTCCTCTGGCTTCAGAAGGTAGCTGCTCACTTTCTCTCTCTCTCTCTCTGTCTCTCTCTCTCTGTCAACCTCTGACTTCTACACATACACACATACGCACATGCACTCCCACATGTGCCCACACATAAGTGCATACAACACACATACACACATACATAATCTCAAGATATTTATGAGCATTCCTTCTATAAATATGTAAATATAGAAATTTTATGATAATAAGTAGAAGGCTGAAGAATACATTATTTACTAGGTTGTGGTAATATTTCAAATCTCAAGTGATGTTTAAAACTAAGACATGGCATACTTATACCCACTGTTTCAGTTGTTATGAAGTCACAGTTAAGATGAGGCTACTGCAGCCCAGAGAAGTGACGACCTGCAGATCAACTAGAATTAACAGAACGGATTCATCTGACAGAGTTCAATACTTGTCTTCAGCTGTTCTGACTTTTTTTTTTTTTTTTGAAGTTGATCTGGCTCAAGAACAAAAATCTTTTTCCTCATTGAGCCTAAGGAGGGTGTTGCGTCTACAAACCCTTCTGACAATCTGAGTGCTTGTTGGAAAGGTCCTAGAATTCTCATTCTAGCAGAGAACACTTTTTACAATAGGGACCCCACATGAGTATGTTTTCTGAACTATCAAGTTGTTTGAAGTCAGGAGTGATAGTGGATGCCTATAACCTCAGCATTCAGGAGGCTGTGGCAAGAGGAGCCCAGGCTACTTAGCACACGATCTTGTGTCCACAGAAATGTCTCAATGCTTCAAATCCAGTGTTCTGCATTTTCCCTTTGCTACTTGTATTATTATTTCTACCTTTTAAATTTAGCCTGCCTCTCTTTTGTTGGGACTCTCTCTCTCTCTCTCTCTTTCTCTCTCTCTCTCTCCCTCCCTCCCTCCCTCTTTCTCTCTCCCTCTCTCTCTCTCCCTCCCTCCCTCCCTCTCATTCTTTATCTCCCTCTTGGATGAGCAGTCTTCCCTTTGGATTGTTCTCTGGGTCACTTTTTACCATTTTCCTCAGGTTGTTCCTCTCTTTCCAGAACGTGTAAACACAGTCGCTGTGAATAACACTAAGGGAAGGATTTTATCTCTGTGACTTGAATAGTGTCTGGCATAAAACAAGCAGCAATAAACATTTGTCAGTTGACTGAGGAAGGAAACTTTAAGAGACAGCAGAGGGCACTCTTTGTCTTTTATGTCCAAAACTTTAAAGACTGCAAATTAGCATTAATGTCCTCCCTGCTATTAAAGAGCCTGCAAACTTGATACTGCTTGTTTGGTACAGTAACTCAAAATGCCCAGCTGCCACAGTAGAAAGCATAGATTGACCCCCATCCACCTGATTACCTTGGTTGTCCCTGACAGTGAAGTTGGGGTTGTTAGCAGCCTCAGGAGCCAAACTGTAGTAGAAGTGTTGACCGTTGTGAGGGTCATCTTGGTCCACGGCGCTCACTGTCTGAATCAGCTGGAGGGACATGAGATCAGGTGAGTTGGAGCTAAAGGAAAAAGCCTCAAGGTCTAGTGAAATCCTCCACCTTGAATCCAATAGTAAGTTGCTTGCCCAATGAGAAGGATGTCCTGAAACTTACCTGGAAACTCTCCATGCCGTCACCCAATTTAGGATTTAATTTTGTTTATCCTTGGGCTTGCCTGTGTTAATAGGCAAATGTTGCTTAAATACTTCCCTGCGTGTTATAGTCCCACACCATGGCCAGTTATTTTAGACGGTAAAATAGAAGACTTAAAGAACCACAGCGTGTCACAAGGTCCTCTTAGCCTCAGTTTCCTCCTTTCCTCTCTCTACATCCTGCCATTGAGTGAATGTTCTGTGGTTAAATTGCTGCCTTTGATAAACTCTTGTTTAAGAATAACTACCTAGAAGGGGGGGTAAACAGGGCAGTGTTAGACTGTGAAAAGTCACAAAGCAGTCATGTTTTCTTGGTAGGAAGAGGAGTTAGAAAAGCTGTGGAGCATAAGCTCACCAGGGTGGGAAACAGACTAGAGTCAGAGGTGTGAGGGTGTAGCTCAGAAGGGGGGCGGCAGGTAAACAGCATGAAAAACAGAGCTTAGTGGTAGGGAGAGCTTGAGGGCTTCCCCTTGAACCCTTTGACCAGATTCTGTCCTTCCCACAATGCTCTTCAAAGTACATTTTTCTGAAAGCTATGGAGATTGATGGAAAGTACATTAAAGGAAACAATGAATCAGTTTGAAATATCAGCTGGTGGGCTGGGGGCTAGAGGAAGAGTGTCATTCACCTGCTCTCCTTAGGTGTTTGCTCTTCTGTTATCCTGAAGCACAGTTAGCTGCCATTCCACTTGGGCCTGCCCCCAAATACCTGCCACTCCTATTGGTAATTGCTGGCTATGTTTCTGCCAGGATAGAAATGTGTATATCAAAGTTCAGCTTGAGGGCCCAGATGGGCTGTAATCAAGGCTTTCACAATATGCTGAAGGTTAGGGGGAATCACCCAGCAAGGAATTTCTTCATACTCTTGTTACTCAGGTCTTCCAAGGACTTGTCCCAGCCTTTACCTGCCAGACTCTTCAGAGACCTTCACTGCAGACAGCTCTCTCTCTCTCTTACATATGGTTACCACATCCTTCCAGGTCTACCCACATTCAGTGCCTAACTGATGCTTAGCAATCCTGCCTCAATTGGGAAAACTCTTGTTCTAAAACTCTGTAGGACTGTTAATGGATCTCTATTGCAGCTGGATTTCATCAGTGAACCCTGTGTATTAAAGCTCCATCTCAGGGTAACCTTCCTGGAAAACCTGACTGTTGATTGTAAAAATGGAGTGGATGAGGTACTAATGAAGTCAGAGGTGAGGGGACCAGTGGAGATAATACCCAGAGTCCAACCTCATGTCTCTACTGGTTTCACCTAAAGGGTACCTTCTGCCCCAACCCCATAGAACAGCAAATCTGCTTTTTATTTTGATTGCTGAATGCATAAAGAGATGACACATTTCTTGGTGAATGTTATAAATAGATAACATAGTGGGAAAAATTGTACAGCAGATCTACAAACTCTGTGTGTTTTGGTGAGATGGGGCTGGTTGAAAGTAGATGGGCACTGTGGAGGAGTTGGGGGTAGGTGAGCACTGTGGTGGAGCTTGGGGTAGGTGGGCACTGTGGTGGAGCTTGGGGTAGGTGGGCACTGTGGTGTTCGGGGTAGGTGGGCACTGTGGTGGAGTTGGGGGTAGGTGGGCACTGTGGGGGAGTTGGGGGGAGGTGGGCGCGGTGGTGGTGTTGGGGGTGGCTGGGCGCGGTGGTGGTGTTGGGGGTGGCTGGGCGCGGTGGTGGTGTTGGGGGTGGCTGGGCGCGGTGGTGGTGTTGGGGGTGGCTGGGCGCGGTGGTGGTGTTGGGGGTGGCTGGGCGCGGTGGTGGTGTTGGGGGTGGCTGGGCGCGGTGGTGGTGTTGGGGGTGGCTGGGCGCGGTGGTGGTGTTGGGGGTGGCTGGGCGCGGTGGTGGTGTTGGGGGTGGCTGGGCGCGGTGGTGGTGTTGGGGGTGGCTGGGCGCGGTGGTGGTGTTGGGGGTGGCTGGGCGCGGTGGTGGTGTTGGGGGTGGCTGGGCGCGGTGGTGGTGTTGGGGGTGGCTGGGCGCGGTGGTGGTGTTGGGGGTGGCTGGGCGCGGTGGTGGTGTTGGGGGTGGCTGGGCGCGGTGGTGGTGTTGGGGGTGGCTGGGCGCGGTGGTGGTGTTGGGGGTGGCTGGGCGCGGTGGTGGTGTTGGGGGTGGCTGGGCGCGGTGGTGGTGTTGGGGGTGGCTGGGCGCGGTGGTGGTGTTGGGGGTGGCTGGGCGCGGTGGTGGTGTTGGGGGTGGCTGGGCGCGGTGGTGGTGTTGGGGGTGGCTGGGCGCGGTGGTGGTGTTGGGGGTGGCTGGGCGCGGTGGTGGTGTTGGGGGTGGCTGGGCGCGGTGGTGGTGTTGGGGGTGGCTGGGCGCGGTGGTGGTGTTGGGGGTGGCTGGGCGCGGTGGTGGTGTTGGGGGTGGCTGGGCGCGGTGGTGGTGTTGGGGGTGGCTGGGCGCGGTGGTGGTGTTGGGGGTGGCTGGGCGCGGTGGTGGTGTTGGGGGTGGCTGGGCGCGGTGGTGGTGTTGGGGGTGGCTGGGCGCGGTGGTGGTGTTGGGGGTGGCTGGGCGCGGTGGTGGTGTTGGGGGTGGCTGGGCGCGGTGGTGGTGTTGGGGGTCGGTGGGCACTGTGGTAGCGTTGGGGGTAGGTGGGCACTGTGGTGGAGTTCAGGGTAGCAGCACCATGATTGCTCTCTTGCCCTTCATTCTCCTGACAGGTCAGATTTCTGCCTTAGCCCTACTTGTCTAATACTCTGCTCAAATGATTCGTTCTGCCCTCTGTCATCATCAAGTATGCATCACACATCCTTATGGGCTTCCTCCTCTGTGAGGAAGAGGAGCACATGCACACAAACTTGGCAGAACTGAGGATGATGGCTGTGTCGGGCAAGCCCACATTGAAGGCTAGAACTCTCAGTATCTTAGTCTGATAATGACAAATATAACAGACTTGTGACTCCATCCCCTAATTCTAAGTCACAGATACATTGCACCTCAAAGGATTGCATAAAGGACCATTCGAGATAGTCTTAGAGATGGAGGACGTATGTGACTCCCAAAACAGGAGAGGTGGTTCAGGTGCTTTAGCTTGTTGAAGCACAACTTCTACACTAGCCTTTAAGGCAGGGAGTGCTTTGTCTTAAGGGAGGAGGGGAGCAATCTTTATTATGCTACTTATATTACTGGATAAATTTAGCTTCTTTTGTCCTGGAATAAAACAGCTATATTGAATCAATTTTTATAATTAAACAATGTATGCTCTACTATACCATAGACAAAAGTAAAATAGTAAAAAAAAACTTTTTTAAAGCCCAACCCATCCACTCCAAACTTGCCTACCTTTACAGTCACTCTGCTGCATTTGCCTTTTCTGTCTAATCTTGCTTTTCATGTAACATAATCCTACAAAACTGCTTATGTAGTTTTTAGCCCTCCTTTCTTTATGTATATTACCATGAATCCTACCTGGTGTATAAAATTTTTATTGTAATTTTTGTTAGCTGCATAATATTTTAGGCCTTTCTAGACTAGAAATTTCATAGATGTGGTAGTGGAATTATCTGAGACTTAGAAAAATCTTTTTAAGAGTGATACCATTTCACCAAATTTTAAGAATCAGTGAAGAGGTCAGTTTGGATTTGAGTCGCTGTAGGGGACCTTGTTTCCTAGAAACACTTTTACTGTTTTTGACTGGATAGAAGGCAAAGATGTGTCATGGTAAGAACATTGAGGAATTAGTGCACATCCAATCTTAGAGATACAGTTTCTTTGTGCAACAGGATGCTGGGGTAATGCTACAGGTGAGTGAGAGAAGTGACAGCTAAGCTGAGTCACAGTCAGAACCTGAATTACTTTCTGATACTGTGTCTGCTTCTCAAACCCCTGACATTCATACAAAAATGAGCTTGATCTATTTCACACACACACACACACACACACACACACACACACACACACACACACACACACACACACAAATAAATCTTTAAAAATATTTAAAAGAAAAAAAAAGCAAGGACAGGTTACAGGGAGGAGAACACCTGAAAAATACATTAATATGTGGCCATCCCAATTGGAGTTCTGGATGTTTCTCAGTTAAACCATTTGGAACTTAATAAAACAATAGGTTAGGTTTAAAACCATACCTTAAAAAATGGCTTTGAAGGTTTTAGAACTGTAGTTATTCCAAATAAGAGCCTTGTTCCTTCAGATTATTTTCCCCCTAAACTTGCCCAGTATGAGCAGTGCTAAGAAAATGGGCATTTTAGTTAACAGCTAGATAATTCTAGGTAAGGAAATATGGGGATAACAGGGCTGGAAGAACCGAAAGGATGTTTTCATTGCTAGAGGTGGATAGAGGAGGTGGAGCTGGGCATGCCAGTGTATGCTTTTAATTCTAGCACCTTGGAGGCAGAGGTGGGGATCCCTGTGAGTTCAGGACCAGCCTAGTCTACATATCAAGTTCCAGGCAAGCCAGGGATGTATAGTAAGACCCTGTTTCAAAGAAAAGGAAGAAAGGAGGTAAGACAGTATAGAAAACACACTCTCCTTACTGAATACGTTTCCAGGGATTGGTGTGTGCTCAGGGAAAGAAAAGACTACTTTCTCCTAAATACATGCCTCTTTCTCTCTTTGTACCCCTTATATATGTTCTGACAGTTGGTGTGATGCAGTTGGATTTCAAGGTAGATAGAGACCTTATGCAGACTATCCTTTGAGTCTAGCCACTATTAAAGCACTGTTCAGAAAATAAAATGTAATGTAGGCTCCCAGTTTTGTCTTAACAAATCAATTGTTGAAGCCTGATATAAAGAAGTTGGGGACTCTGGTTTCTAACCCATGCTTTCTGGAGTGGAAAATGCCTTTGATGGGGAATTTGGTTATCTTTAAGAGTTGTCTCTGGACATCTGGGGTTTACCAAGGTGATCACCTTACCTGTCCAGCTTTGGCATTCTCACAGACAAAGGCTTCATAGAATCTGGGGAACTCTGGAGCATTGTCATTCACATCTAAGACTTTGATTGTGACGGCAACACTTCCCACCTGGGAGGGATTGTCTAAAGAGAACACAGGGAAAATTGAAGGTGAGAAAGCTTATTAATGCAGCTTGTCAGTCTGGTTTCTCAAGGAATGGGTATGATACATGGAAATGGTAACATGATCATAGGATATGTGTGTTGCTAGTTAAGAGTGTGATCAGGTACAAGCTGGGACAGAAGGACCTGTGACATTTCTAAGTCACATTAAATTTATGCCTGAATAAGACACACTCTTAGCATTCATTTTTTTAGGCAAGAGTGGACCAGAACCCATTATGACAACCCTTTCCTCCAAATGTCTCACTGTGCTGTCCAGCCAGGCTTCCCTGCTCATTCTTTATTGAGATAGGAAAGTGGAAACCAGGACCCACCCTTATCTTAGAAAATCTTGCCCTTTGATCCCTAGGACTAGACTATCACATCCAATTACAAACAAACTTCTCAAATCTCACTGTTTTCAATGAGAAAAACAGTTTTTCAGCACTCTGGTATGTTAATCATGCACACTCACATTCATTCACTTTCTTGTGTAGAGGGTGAGTGGGGTCCTGAGGGATTAAGGTCAGGTGCTCAGGTCGCAAGAGGAACAGATGGCTCAGTGAGTTTGTTTACATTATAACTTTTTGGTTGCAAGGTTAGGTAAAAGTTATTAGTCCAGATTATGCCCATATTCCTACAAGGAGCCATCTGATGGGGGTGTGCTTGACATCAATTTTTGAGGAAGGGCATGACAAGGGGAAGCAAGTGCTACAAAATGAACCTTGGAGGTTTTGCTGCCTGCTTGGCTTGTACTTTGGGTTTTGGAATTAAAGGCAAGTCTATTCTATGTTCTGGGCTTTAAAACAGCTCATGCCTAGTAGAATACATGTTTGTGCCACATTTGGCTTTATTCTGGTAGATAAATTATTCTTTGAATTATTTTTCAGAACCGTTTCAAGTTATTCAGTGGGTTACAGAAAACACTGCACATTTATTTCTGCCTAGGGACTGAAAATATGCAGAATCAAATCTATTCCAAGCCATATCTTTTGTTGGGAGCCATACGCATTTATGGGAAATTGTCTCTTGGGGATGTGTCTTTTGCTTGGAACTCCACCCAGAGACAATTTCACAGCCCCCATAGTGCCTCTCCACTATTTTTCTCTTTTGGTGCCCTCTCCGAGGAGGCAAAAGAGAAATTATAACACACAGACATTTTATTGAGTAATTTTACTAAATTCCAGAGTGCATTCTTCTTTAGGTTCAGCTTTTCCTTTTCTTTCTCAAAAATATTAATGTTCTACTGCGTTTCCATCCTAAACAATTTCTTCCTGGATTAGGCTGTTCTCAGGAATATGGTAGATTCCAAGCTGTCTCCATGTGATGCCATTAATGAAGAGTCAGGGTAACAAAGGATAGATTGTTCTAAAAGGAGAAGAAGACCAACTATATTGGTAACAACAAAAGGTAATTATGAGATAGCTGAGCAGCACAGAAGCAGAAAGACTGTAGTAAAAATGAGGAAGCTAGCCTCAGCTGTAGCCCCAAGTCCCAGGCAAGGGAGGGCACAGAAGCCTCATCCTCAAATAAACTTGGTGGCCCTGGTAGGAGGGCTGGCCGTCCTAGCTACAGGACAAGCCCATCATTCTCATAAATCTTAAACCCATTGGGAAGATTTGGTGTGACAGTGACTCCTCTTACATGACAGGTTAACACGGGAGAAGTAGTCCATTTCATCCCTCATCTCAGAAGGCTCTGGCCAGGGAACACCTTGAGAGGGGACCTGCTGTTTAAGACTAAACTCTTCTGGGGGTCTCAAAGCAAGGAATAATTAAAAATTATGGTGTCTGGGGACACTTTACCACCATCTCTGGGTAGGAGAGGATCATGTAAGATAGTTATGAGTAAGGGGATGGTTAGAAATAGCTGAGAAGTTCAGGTGGCAGAAGGCTTGAGCTGTTAAGGGCACTGTATGTGGTGGTTGGTGAATAAAGTAGTTGGCTAGAGTCAATTTCTATATTTGCTATAGTTTAGTGTTGGTACTGTTAACGTAGTCTGTTTTCTCCTCTCTTGAGTGGTATTGGGAATTGAACTCTCAAGAAAAGAATGTTCACCAAGACCCGGGGATAAAAACAAGCAGATGAATGAGATAGGGAAGCCAGTTGAAGGCCTGAATAAGAAAGCAACATGGGTGAGAAATTCACCAAGGAAATTGAGATTTAGGGAGAAGAAGCCTAATATATAAAACAACATGGTGAAGATCGTCACCAATAGACTAGATTAAGTACAAGAAAGATTATCAGGGATTGAAGACAAAGTTGAAGAAATACTATATCCAGACATCAAGTAAAAAAAAAAAAAAACCAACATGACCATAACTTTCAAGAACCCTGGGACATGAGGAAGAGATCAACCCCCAGAATCCATAGAGTAGAGGGAGCTGAGGTACAGTTTAAAGGCATAGGAAACATAGTCAATTACAGCAAAAAATCCTAAATTAAAGGAGAGACACAGACAGCAAAGCACAACAGGGATTAGAACGCCAGATGGACATGTCCATAAATGAACCTTTCCACAACACATCATAGTTAAGTGCTAAGACTACACAGACAACAAAAATTGTAAAGATTGCATGAGAAAAACACCAAGTTACAGACAGAAACCAATCAGAATAACATTAGATTGTTCATCCGAAACTCTAAAAGTCAGGAAATCATGGACTGATAATTTTTTTAAAAAAAGTTATTTATTTAATAACCATATAATTAGAAGAAGCATTTCATTACAACAGCATTGACATATTCAATAACAGTTTCCAAAGCTAAGATGCATCTTTTTCAAAATTGATTGTAAATTATTAGGTTCACAGTTGAATTAATACAGTTATACAATATTGTACTCAGGATAAACCCTACAAGACATAAAATTGAATGAGGTTTTAACCTTTAAAAATGATCTCCATTTCATTTTAAAATACACCGTTTCCTACAGAAAAA